GTGCTATAAACCCGTTCCCTTCTACGTTTTAACAATAAGTAAATGGCAATTTTACACCTTATTCTATTCCAATCCCACAATCGTAATTGATATTCATAATTATTAAACAAATTTAAACTTTTTTTTTTTTTGTTAAAAATATAAATAAAGATCAAACACGAATAAATATGTATAAAAACAAATTAACTTATCTCAGGTTATGATTTTTTTAGTAACTTTCAGTGGAGCAAAAATGAAATGTCCCTAAAAATTCGCGACTGTATGAAATAGGTCCAAATTTTATGAATATTTAAGAACTGTTTTCAATTCCCATTCGCGTCTATATGAAACAAGCTAAATGATATGACAAATTCTTTCGACCACTATGTTTTTTATTATTTCTAGATGCTTAGGCATTTTGTGTCTAGCTCTAGCAGGCAACTATTAAACCCGACCAATCACGTTAGAGTTTTTGAAAACACAAATGAATAACACACTCCAAATAACCACGCTAACCAACCTGATTGGTCAAGCTTAAAAGTTGAATGCTAGGGCTAGACACTTCTATGTTTACGCATTTTTCACTTGCCCAAGGTTGAGCGATCAGGTGCGGTAGTTAGCTGTTCTGTGACTTGTGCGTTAAGTTCTTCTCAATATCGATAAACTTTTTAACAATTATGGTGTACTCATTTGCAGAAAAAGTCTAAATAATCGAACTTTATTTAAAAAATAATGAATGTGGCAATCGGTTTGCGCAGATATTCAATGAACGCCATCCTTATAAACACCTTTATGGCAAAATTATTCGCGAGTTAGTAGCAAAATTTAGCGAAACTGATTCCGTTATGAATAAAAAGACGCAGAGGGAAAATATTGTAGTAAATGAAGCTATGGACGTATTCGTATTGGGTCAAGTTGCCATGGATAGTACGCTGAGTACAAGAAAATTAGCCAATGAGACCGGCATGAATCGTACAAGTGTCCAAAGGATATTAAAAAGCACAAGTTCCACCCGTACAAAATTCAGCTGGTACAAGAACTCAACGAAGACGATTTTATCTGAAAAAATTACCCTGGCCGTTATGCCTTTGGGGAACGTTTTCGATGGGCCACCCTGTATAAAATTTTAAGGTGCAAGTTTTTTTTTGCACCGGTGAGTGTATTTACTTACTAAAAAATCACAGTATGGAGTTATATTAGTAACATCATTTATATCGGTACAGATTTAGGTCAATTCTGAACATTTTACCATTCGAAAAGTTACTCTTACTCTGATTTTATCTAATATGTAAATCGTCAAAGTGAATTCTGAAGTATGATTAATATTATATTTTTTGTTATAACTGTCTTTAATGTATGAGTCTACCTATTCACACAAAAATTTCACACTCGTTAATTTCTATCCTATCGAATGTAATATGTTAATGATTCATTTTATTATTAGCTGAAATGTTGTTCGATTAAAAACTATATCAGACCGGTAGTAGTGGGTTAGATTGTTAGAAGAAAAAAGCCGCAAGCTGTGCAAGCAAATGACACACGAATGCTCTCACCCTTTAGAGGATGCGGATTCCTCAAACATTTTGCGCAGCTGGTCAATGTCTCCCCAAAATGGGGACGGTTGCCATTTCCTATATCGGCTAACAGAAAATAACACTATAAAACTCAAAAAACAACCGAAATTTTTCATCACTTCTGGATAATAAAGTTTTAAGAAATTGGTCTAGAACTCAATATATTGTCAAGAATAATGCCTAGACAAATGTCTGGACCATCCTGTATTAAACAAAAATAGGATGGTCCTAAAATTCATTGTAAGATTCATATTTACGATGAATCTTATCTTCTTTCAGGTCAAAATTTTTAGCAACACCCTGTATACATACATACAGGGTGTCCCAGGCTGAGCGTGCATTAGAAGTTTCTAGAGAACCGTAAGATCTAGATCGGAGATTTTGCACATCACTGTTTTTTTTTTTTTTTTTTTTTTAAAAATATATTCAAGATGGCGGCACTTCCGGAAAAACCGGAAGTTGGCAGTAACTTTAGTTTAAATGGACACCTTACTTTTATTGCATATTTAAATTCTCTAAAATTTTATAAATTTTGGATATCAAACAAAGTCTATATCTAACATAACCGTTTTTGAGAAAAAAATGTTTTTCAAGGAAAAAACTGCCTGTCAAAAAAATGTGATAGCCTGAATGTCAAATTCAGTGATTACCACAGCCACTGTGACATAAGAAGACACGTGGCTCTCTGTTTCAAAAATTAAATTGTTTGAATATCATATAATATTGCCCCTAGCTGTCATGGGAATTGAGAGACAAAAAATTATTCATAAATCACTTTTTTTTATTTCACAGTAAAAAAGATTTTCAATTCGTTACTTTTTGATGCCATGCTTTTGTACAGCATGGCAAGCTGTGTTTTTTAACTTTAGCATGGCAAGCTGTACCTTGCTACTCCTGGCGTTAAACGCTATATACGGGAGCCTATTATTATTACATTACTGATTTATAGTCTGTCCAACGACAAAATCCTTGACAGTGATAGATGTCTGTCATTTTAATTTCAAAGTAGTTTATTTTATTTTACAAAGAAATATGTTGGTACAATTGGAACGCATATCATATTTAAATTTGAGTGACAAGTGTGATTACTTCAAAATATTGCAAAAAAACTGTATAAAATCTGAAAAAATCTAATCTTAGCAATTAACTTTAATCTTAATTTTGTCTAGTACTGAAATGTGGCTATTCACCTATCGTGTGATGTTATTTTACAGAAACTCCAGTTTTTGGTGTACCATATACGAGATGGTATACAACTTTTATTTGTGGCTAATACAGCTCCCTGGCCATAGCAAGCCATAGTGTCTGGCAAACTGTGTTTCTGGCGGACTCTGGGCACCGAATATTAACTAAACTATGGTCTGGGTCAACACTTAATTTTCTCTTCGAGTTTCACTTAATTTTAAAAACACGAAACACAAGTAACAACACAGTCTAAAAAAATTGATGTAAATTATAACTTATAATTTGGCAAGAGTTTGACAACTCTCAGTCGGGTTCATACGCATCGGAGTCCGTTTGTCGTTATCGTTGCGTCAAACCAATAATATTGAAACATGATCTGTCGTTTTTTGAAATAAACCAATAAAACTAGTTAAAAACAACAAGAGACGACGCATGACGATCCGCCCTTATAAATCCATCCATAGTTAACTTAAAAATATTAGAAACTGTTTTTAGTGAAATAAATGGATTGGTATGGGAAGTCATCTGCTTTTTTTTCTGTCATAGTCTGTCGAAATCTTACCTGAGAAAAAAAAACAGAGTATATATATGTTCCTATACCTAAAATAAATCGTTTTAAGTTATTTAATATTTAGTTCTAAAGCGTAAATTTTTCTTCATTTTATCTAGCTTCCTTTTGATATTAAGTGTCAAACCATCATACATTTTATTTCCTTCTGTCAAAAAAGTAATTATTTGAATTTTATTTATTATAAATACTACTGCTAAAATTTATAAAGTGTATTTATAAAATATATCTCGAATTTTAGTAATTAATTAATTTACATCATTTGACGTTTAACGCAATAGGCTACTGGTTAAAAAACAGAAAAATATACGCTTTAAAAAACTAAATCTTAAATAACATACAAACGATTTAATTTGGGTAAAGGAATATGTATAATCAAAAAGCAACGAATTAAAAACCTCTTCACTAGTGAAATAAAAAGTGGGTTTTACTTAAAAAAGATTTATAAGGATAATTTATTAATCTCTTCCATGACAGCTACAGCCAATTATTATATGATACTCAAACAATGGCTGTGGTAATCACTAAATTTGATGTTTAGCTATACAATTTTTTTTGACAGGCAGTTCAGTTTTTTGTTCCAATTTTTTTTCTCAAAAAACGGTTAATGTTAGATATAACGCTTATTATTAAAAATTCATAAAATTTGATAGAGAATTTAAATATAACAAAAATAGAGGTACTCATTTAAAATAAGAAAGTTGCTGTCGACTTCCGGTATTTCCGGAAGTACATTGAAAACATTTTAATCGATAGATATCAATTCGTGAAACAATGATGTGCAAAAATCGACCTAGATATTGTAGTTCTTGAAACTTCTAATGCACGCCTGTAGCCTGGAACAATTCTGTATACTTTAGATACATTTCGACGACACTGCCCATAAACCTCTCAAGCTAAAAGCACACTAGCTAGAGCTATAAATAAATGTTATTTGATTAAATACTTCTTCGTTTATCCCACCAACCCTTTTAATAACATTAAGCAGAGTATTTAGCCCACCAAGTGAACAATAATATTGTGAATACATAAAAAGTATCGCGTGAGAAACAAAATTACAGTGCGATATATTGTGCCTTGACATTTAACAGTAAATAAATTAATTAATTACATAATAAAAGTGTTTCTAAAGGACTTACTTCCGGAGCATTTGGGAAGTGACATCTTCAAAATCGCTGAGATCACTTCCAAGAGATGCCTGCTCACCTTTGGTAGCCTTAAGGTAAGAATCGGGTCTTCTCGATCTGTCATCACCTAAAATACACGAAAGTTTTGTTAATACATGCTTGATTTCTAATTACTAATAATTAAAAGAAAGCAAATTCATAAAAGGCTCAGATTATGTCTGCGTTGTAATATAATTAATATTGTTGTAACGCTTTTAAGTGCATATAACAAATATTTGATACTTTTTCATTTTTTCACCAAACCAAACCAAACCACTCCAACGGGACGATCCCTGGCAGTGACAATTCTGTCTATCATTTCAGTTAACAGTTCAATGGCAGTTACAATTATGTCTTACTAAGTTTACCCTAAGATTATTTTAACATGAAAAAAAATCTTAATTTTTTCATTTACAATAGCGTTGACAACACGAAGCAACTGTTCCAATCGCAGATAAAATCTTTATATCTTAATGATACAATGTTACTATACATTGACACCATAACTTACCCATGTTAGTATTTTTATTTCTCCGTTTAACGACAATGGCTTTTTCGTGAAGATTAGCTAAAATAGAAGTAAGCAGTTAACACAAGAAACATTAAACGTCAGTTATTTGTTAATTACAGATCGATTAGACAGGATACGAGAACAAAGATGTGTTAAAACGACTCTCTCACCACAATCAAGTAAGTTACGAAATCGAAAGAGCTAGTACTAGTAAGAAATAGTAAATAAAGGAGGTAAAACAAAAAACAAAACTAAAAATTTAAGTAGAAAATGGAAAACTATATTAAGAATAAATAAAAATAAACGAAATAAAAGTTATAAAGCAAAAAAAATGTATAATCCAATAACATATCAATCAATTTTTTTCTTTTTGTTTGACGTTATACAGCTTTTCTGTTTATATTTTTTACGTCTACTCTTTTATATTACCCTGTTAAAAACCATTCAAACATAAATGAAACAGAGAACATTATACAAAAGAATGTTTCTTTCGAAGAAATGGTATTAACAGTAGCAAATAAATCGGAACAATGCATTCAATATGCATGTTTTAGTTAAAAAATTGTTAAAGTAACATTAATTGTTGTTCAGTTATATTCTAAATGTTCATTTTTTAGTTTTTTTTTTATAAAAAGCAGAAAGAAATCGATATAAACATAAGAAAAAAAATAAAGAAAACATTACATCTTTTAAAATTGTTGAATTGATCCTAATAGATGTGAAGAATTGTTTGTGTCTAAACATACAATAGGGTGTCAAAGGGTTTAAAAAATACACATTTTTTACTTATACAGGGTTGTTCACCACATACGAAACGGAATATTGTAGCTAAACGATTAGATTTTTACAAATTGTAGGTTTTGGGTTCGTTGAAGGACTATTAGAGCTATAATTTAAAAAAAATTTACAAGATACAGAGTGTCCCAAATAAATAAAAAATATCAAAGTTGTATTTTCTTAAACGGAACACCCTGTATATTATTGCATTTTTAGTTTCTACGATTAAAATGAAGGTAAATTTGATTAAGGTTTATTACACTTAAACCTTACCGTTTTTGAAATATTTTCAATTTTGTGAAATTGCAGTATAAATTTTAAGGCTTCATTTCACCGAGGGTATCAAAGTTTTTAATACTAAATATTTACTGAAGATTATTTATTGATCAGTTATTGTGTTGCAATAATAAAAATTTTACTACCTTATACAGAGTGTCTAAAAATTTATTTTAAATAATTACTAGTTTTAAACGGCAATAACTTGTTTAATTTAAATGGAACACCCTGTATATTTTATGAGAATCAGATGCACAATTTAATTGTCTATCAAATTGTATTTTACCACTTTTTACCTATCCCTTCAAGTTTTCGTAGAAAATGCATTTTCTTATAATTTAGACCTCATTTATCAATATACCCATGGAATATTGACATTTTAGATTGTTTTTAAAACAACAAATGTACAAAGTAATACATGCTAGTAATATTATCGTTTTTAGTAAAACGATAATATTACTAGCCCATTTCTATGCAAAAAGAAAACTATTTAAATCTTTATAAAAGAATATACCATTAATTAAATATACTACCAGTATTTCCGCCCAAATACTAATTAATTACATATTTAATTATTGTGTTCGTTAATAAATTATTCTAAATAAATGTAGATTTGAATCAGAAATCAATATAATAATAAGTTATGAAAATGAACGTCTCTGTTATAAATAAGCATTTGTCAAAAAATAGCTACAATTTAAAAATATTTTTACAAGATACAGTGTCCCAAATAAATAAAAAATATCAAAGTTGTATTTTCTTAAATGGAACACCCTGTATATTATTGCATTTTTAGTTTCTACGATTAAAATGAAGGTAAAATTGATTAATGTTTATCACACTTAAATCTTACCGTTTTTGAAATATTTTCAATTTTATGAAATTGCAGTAAAAATTTTATGGCTTCATTTCTCCAAGGTTATAAAAGTTTATAATACTAAATATTTACTGAAGATTATTTATTGATCAGTTATTATGTTGCAATAATAAAAATTTTACTACCTTATACAGAGTGTCTAAAAATTTATTTTAAATAGGTAAATTTTTAAGGTGTTAGTTTTTTTACCACACTGTCTAATACACATACATAATTCAGTTTTTTAGTTTGGAGCAATTATTATTAATCAACGCAAACAGTCAATTAATGTAGTTTGAATACTGGAATCATATTAATTGGTCCTCTTTAACAAATATTTAAACAGTTTTTTTTATTTTTTAATGAAATAAACAAACTATATCAACAATATTAGTATATGTAGTCTTTAAAAATTTGGTACATCTTAATAATCTAAAATATCAGTATTCCATGGGTATATCGATAAATGAGATCTAAATTACAAGAAAAATCATTTTCTACGGAAACTTGAAGAGATAGGTAAAAAATGGTATAATACAATTTGATAGACAATTAAACTGTGCATCTGATTCTTATATAAAATATACAGGGTGTTCCATTTAAATTAAACAAGTTATTACCGTTTAAAGCTAATAATTATTTAAAATAAATATTTAGACACTCTGTATAAGGTAGTAAAATTTTTATTATTGCAACACAATAACTGATCAATTAATAAACTTCAGTAAATATTTAGTATTAAAAACTTTGATACCCTCGGAGAAATGAAGCCTTAAATTTATACTGCAATTTCAATCAAAATTGAAAATATTTCAAAAACGGTAAGGTTTAAGTGTAATAAACCTAATCAAATTTTACCTTTATTTTAATCGTAGAAACTAAAAATGTAATAATATACAGGGTGTTCCATTTAAAAAAAATACAACTTTGATATTTTTTATTTATTTGGGACACTCTGTATCTTGTAAAAATATTTTTAAATTGTAGCTCTAATAGTCCTTCAACGAACCCAAAACTTACAATTTGTAAAAATCTAATCATTTAGCTACAATACTCCGTGTGGTATATGGTGAACAACCCTGTATACTGTATAACTAAAAACTTTTGCGATTTGTTTTTGACTAGACAAACTAGATCTGTCGCAAACATTGTACTTTCGAATCAGTCATGTAAAGGGTTTTATTTCTGTCATTTTTGGAAGCCAACATCTGTACATTTAATCTGTACTACAAGTTCCTGTATTTACTCCAACATTTTAATATCTTGCAAGAAATTATTCTTCAGTGAGTATAAATGTCTTAGGTCTACGTTTGCTTATTCGTATGTCTTCTGTTCTTGGTATCAGATCAGTCTTTATTCTGGCTACAGATCTACATTTTGGTGTATAAGACAAGAATACAAATTTTGTATCTAACCTACTACTTGTAAGTTCTTCAGTCATACCATTAATGTTAATCAATTAATGATAAGAGTACCTCGGAGTGACTTGCAACTTCTGATTAGTCAGAAGTTGTAATTACTTTAAACATGGATGACATTTTCAAAGCTATCTGACTTTTGTCTCCACACAGCACGGCAGCATTTAGGTTTATTGTACTTACTGTGTTTAATTATAATAATCATTCAAAAAAAATGATACCATGGATAATCCCCTGCTTTTTTTAATGGATGCCTTTTTCAAATACTTAGGTCTACCCTTGGATGTCCATATATCTTCAGTCTATCTATAGTGGGCCAGTTAATCCATGATCGAGGTACCATATTACTGGTTACATTTTACAGTAAAGTTATCAAGGTATCTTACAAGGTATCATTACACAGATTCATTTAGTCCAGGTCTGTTTATAGTGAAATGCATTCGATTTCTTCCACTTAAATAAAGCAGTCTCTTGCTTATTTTGTTACATGATTAACCAATATGTTATCTCATCCTGTATTGTCGTTTTGCCCAATAATTTTTGTGTCTGACCGTCTTGAAAATGCGTCACCTCAATCCCACAATATCCTAAAACCCAAAGTAGACTAAGATTATCAGGGGCTCCAGGAAGTTAAACAGTCGGGTTTCTGAGTACTCCGCATATTCCATCCACATTTGAAGATGGATATGTCTTTTTAGCGAATACTATTTTTTTTGTTGAAGTAATCACTACCAAGTTAATGAAACTCCCGATATAAGGATACTTCTAATGGTATATTGCATCCACCTCATCCGAAGACATGAAGAGCGGATTATATGTGCTACCGTTTTAAAACTATGTTAGGTTGTAAAAAAATGTAAAAAAATTGTAAAAAAAAACAGGAAGTATTTTAAAGATTGATTTTGGTACTCCAGATGGCATGTTCCATCCACATCTAAAGAAATGAATGACTTTTTGAATATACAATATTTTAAACCTTTTTGTAAACGAATCCGTACATAAATCCTCCTTTTTTGATAACAAGTTAATCAGATGGAGACAACAAAAATGACTGGTTAACACGTGATAGCATGTTCCATCCATATCTGAAGCACCTAGATGGCTTCTTGTACAAACCTTTTATCTCTAATTTCAATCAAAGAAGTTGAATACAATAGTGCTCCCTGGAGTGGTGCTCCTTATCAAGGTTACCAAAGAGCATCCAAAAATCCTGTATCTATAGCTCGTCATTGACTGCCAGCCGTATTCACAAAATGAAATAGTTATTTTTTGTAAAGCACTTGCGGTGTTAAACCTAAACGGACGCTGTTGCCAGAAGTTGTATTTACAGTAATAAAAATTTGCCTAACAAAGAAAAAAATGCTTAACGTTTCGGAAAGTTTTCTCTTTCCGCCGTCGGAAGCAAAAAAAATATAAAGAATCAAGAAAAAAACAATTTAAAATATTTAAATTGAACAATTCGAGAACAAATTTATTTATTTTAAATTGTTTTTTTCTCGATTCTTTATATTTTTTTTTACTTCCGACGACGGAAAGAGCTTTCCGAAACGTTAAGCATTTTTTTCTTTGTTAGGCAAATTTTTATTACTGTAAACACAACTTCTGACAAGCAGCGTCCGTTTAGGTTTAACGCCAGAAGTGATTACAAAAAATAACTATTTTATTTTGTAGACTTTTTCTTTGCGCAGTGCGGCACCCATAAAGACTTTTTGGATAGACGTGAATCCGCCACATAGATATAGACATTTTTTACAAAGAGTTATCTCTTCGATAACCTTGATAAAAAAGGTAGTAAACATATTATTATACACGTAAACGGCATTGTCAGTAAATAGTTCACAGTATTGAGTTTGATAAAGTTTTGTGTTAAAAAATTCTATTGTATGTTTAGACAGTTCGACAGTCGAGAACACAGACAAAGACAGTAAAGAGCAGAGCACGAAGTTAGGGGACAGAAAGTGGCATAGCTCAAACCGACAACTCAAACCAAAAACTCACAAGCAAGTTCGTTTGACGAGGAGCTGGTTTTGTGTCTGGCAGGTCGCTGCGGTCCTTCCAAGTCTAAGCTGGTGGGGCGAGTGGGGGGTGCGGGGGTAACAGAGAGGGAAGGAGGGGAGTGAGTTTGGAGTCGGGCGACGGGTTCGGGGATAAGGGGGGATTGAGGGGGTAACGAGCCGGGGGTGGTCGGTGGCGGAGGGGTGGCCGTAATAGAGTCTGGAGGGAAAGAGTAAGTTTTAACGTTAAGGCGGTGCGAGTGGATAAAAATTCTTGTGGCGTTGGCGATAATTGTGGTACAATGGTGAGATATGGCTATTTAAAAATAGGTAGAACAACACTAAAGTAGATATTTCATGCAAAACCTTTTTGAAATTGTCTTTAATGATTAACTGAGGGACATTTTAACTGAACAGCTTACCAAGAACTTTATATACCGGGTGCGTCTCAAAAATGGCTCACCCCCTATAATTTTTTTATTTTTTCAGATAAAAAACGAGATTTGGTATGTTAGCATATAACATAAGTTAGGATTGATTGACGTATTCAATTGTTTTTGGTCACTTCCTGTTTCACCGGAAATGACTACAAATTTTGATTTTTAAATGGCACCCTCGGTATTTGTTTACTTTATTCGATAGAAAATTACATTATGAACAGAATGACATCATATGTTAACTCTTGATATTCTCGTTTAATAAAAATCGTATTTTAAAATTCAATCTAGAGTGCCATGGCTATGTTAAAAACACTAATTTTTAATCAAGGAGCCTTGGAAAAATAGATTTGATCGTCTAATGTTTTGAGTATCTTGACCCTGGCCAGTTAGAAATTGCACAAATCGTATTTTTAATCATATCTCAAGTTTTTCAAATGGAACGAGGGTGGCTCATTAGCATATTTGGAAAAAACATTTTTTTATGAATAATATTATCACACACTTGGTATTTCGAATAAAATTTTCGTTACAAACCGCAAGTTATAATTTCAAATAAACCATATGCGAAAATGTCAAAAGTTAACATATGATATATAATTCTATTCAGAGTGTTATTTTCTTGCGAATAAAGTAAAAAAATACCGAGTGTGCTATTTAAAAATCAAAAGTTGTAGTCATTTCCGGTGAAACAGGAAGTGACCGAAAACAATTGAATACGTCAATCAATCCTAATTTATGTCATATACTAACATACCAAATCTCGTTTTTTTAACTGAAAAAAAAGTTATAGGGGTGAACTACTTTTAAGACGCACCTGGTATGGTTCTAGTGACCAAATATATAAAAATTATCACTAGTTCACCACAATTTATCACCAAAACACTTTAGACATTGGACATGCGTTTCATGTTAGCATAATCAGATGATTAAAACTGACTTAGATTTAACCATCTGCTGATGCTGCTAAAATGGTTACCGAAACAAGGGTTCAGTGTTAAAATTAAAGTGTTTGGATACATTGTGGTGAACTAGTGTTTTAATTTGCTGTATGTAAAGACTAAAAGTTCCAAACTCAACTGTATGTTGTTCAGTAAACAACCCGGTAAACAAGTAACATTATAAATCATACATGTGTATATTTAGTGATATTCTCCCTTTTTTAAATAATACTACTAATCATTACAAAATTATAAATTTTCTGAAGTTAAAAGAGCAAAACAAAATAAATTAAACATATAAGTAACTAAAAGCTGTGACATGATCATAATTTCAACAACATTTCAACTACGTTAGGAAGAATTTTTACCCAATGTCAAATAAGTAAAAATAATGTAAGTTAATATATTTAACCTTGTCTCCCAGTGCTGTGGCCCATGATTCTGCCGAATTTGATCTTGCTCTAAATTGGCGATTGGGTTCATTTCCGGTAGTATATCTGAAATAAAAAACCATTTTAGTAAAAAATTGATTGTTAAATTGAAAAAAGAAACTCGCCAATCAATTATTTTAACTAAAAACTAGGTATTACAAAAATCTGTAGTCAGAGATTAAGTTTTTAAGTATAAAATGTTTAACTTATAATATTGACTATGGACGCCATAGTCAATATTACCTTATCCATCATACGCTATGATGGATAAGGTAATATTGACATCCATCATAGGCATTACATCCATCATACGCTATCAATAATAATAAAAGTGTTTGATTTTTAAACTTCTTTTTTTTATTTTCAAATGATATGTGCTATAGTAGCACATTTTTGTGTAGGTTTCTTTTTAATAATACAGGGGAAAAAGAAGGACTGCTGTAAAGAGGTATAACTAGATACAAACAATTATCGTTGTTTAAGAATCTATTTCTTATTCGATTTCAATAACGATACTTTCTAATATAAAATTTTGCAAAGATAAATAAATCTGAATTTAAGTTACTTTACTTGTTAATAAATTTATCCGAAAGACTATTACAGAAAGTAAATTGGATAAAATACTGACGTTAATAAACCATTCTGTGTCGTTCAGTCCGTCAAAAGCGATTAATCAAGCCGAAGAAACATTGAACAGAACAAATTTCCAGCAAGGCTCGCAAGATCGAACGCTCGATTTCTCTTCTAACGATCGATTCAGGGTTGGGTGCGTAGCAAATTGTTAAATTATAACGTAATTTGCTACAGTAACAAATCTATCTTACTAACATCAGAATTCAAGTAAATAAATAATGTTTTACAATAGTGAAACAAATATTTTTTGAAATACCTAGGTCAGACATGTTTTCACATCACTTTTGATGTATTCTACTTGTTTGGCTAAAATTAGCTTAGCACAAATAATGTTTTATTACAATAAAATTTATTTAATTTATAAAAGCAAACAAATTTATAAAAAATAAGATATACCAGTTTATTAAAAACGAGCAAAATTTAGTGTAAATGAATAAATGTAATTTAATCTTAATAAATATTAGTCAAATAAAGTATTTTCGGATATTATTTCAGTTTACTCATCCCTGGTTAAATCCGATTATTTACAACGGATACTACTTGATCGCGCGGAGTACTGTTATTTTTCAAATAAATTGCTAGAAAATTTCGATTTGTCACGGTTAGACCCTACATTAATTCTTACGGTTCAGAAAAAAACAACGAACTGTACATGGGGAAAGGTGCGTATCTTGGAACGAACAAAGAAGCATTCTCGATTTCACAAAAGCGTGAAAACCATATCAGTACTTGCACCGTGACTAGAAAAACACAATACAAAAAAAAACATCTAATATTTTGTTTTTCTGAATTTCTAAATTTTTTCAAAAGAAAATAGGTATCATTTCGTTATATTCCAGTGAAAAGTTCAATATATTTTGTTCTAGTGGACCAATTTTGATAACTTTTAAGCAATCTGTAGCTAAATTATCTGATATTTTAGCCTCTTTTCAAACTAAAAAGTAAAGGTTCAATCTATGACACGACGGAAAACAAAATGTTATTTTGGGGAAAGTTTGAAACACCCTGTGAAATGGTGTACGAAAATAAAGGATTTAGAAACTACTTTATTCTAAAAATGCATCTTTTCTTGAGAGTTTCATTGTTGATTTATTCCACTATCTACTATTCTTTTGGAGACATTCGCTTATGAAGAAGACGGTAACGATTAATAACAATTTTAGCATTAACAGTATGCCCTTGCTTTTGATCCTAACCAAGACACCTATAAAATGTGTTTATTGAATTTGGAGTCACTAATTTTGTGACTCAAAATATAAAAAAATATTGTTTTATTATTTTTATTATGATTATAAATGCATTAATTTTAAACGTCATCCACAAACAGTTCATTTCAGGTGCATATGTTCTGTGTTTTTATGGCAAATTTCCAACCATCTGGATTTAAAAAAAAGTTCACTGATTTGCCATCGAAAGATATTAATACATTTCGAAAAGCTACACACTCGTCCTCTGGTGGATCAAAGGCCTCTCATAACAAATACATCCAATTCCAATAAATTTTCGTGGATCAAAACGAAGCCGAACAGTCGGAAATTCACTTTGACGAAGCTTAAACACTAATAGGATTATTAGCCCATTTCTTTTATCGGTTACCAGGGGTCAGTCGATTTGTGAAAACAAAAACTGGGACAATTCTGTTTTTTATTATATATCTATATTTTCTTCATCCAGGGATTGGAAGAATAGGAAAGGCTGGCAACTGGTACCGGAAGGCGTAGGACGCTATGAACCCGGTTTTATATATACAGGGTGTCCGGAAATTAATACAACAAATTTGTCATAGATTGTTGGTGGCACAAAAATAGGTGACAAGTATTTTTATTTTTGGCCAGTAGTGACCCCCTTTTCGGATTTACAGCCCGCTGAATTAGCTCCCAAAAACTAAACTCCCCCGCTTCCAAAGTTTTTATTCAGTTGGACGAAAATCACTAAAATTTGGTACACGTTATTTTATCAAATGAGTTATTTTTTGATGCTATTAATTTTTATTTTCATCAGTGGCGTGCTTAGCTTTAACTAAATATTATTGAAGAAAAAATGGTACGCCACTGGTTTTTTAAATCTGTAATTTTTAGGCATCTACATTGGTTTTGAATAACTTTTGATCTTTGATTTTTTGACGCACCGTTTTCGCATAAAATGATAAAAACCATTTTCATACATGACCAAATTGCTGAAATTTTTATGAAAATTTTCATAGCAAAATTTAAAAAACGGCAATTTAGGTTTTTTGACAAGATTTAGTCATGTATGAAAATGGTTTTTATTTTTTAACGCGAAAACGGTGCATCGTACGAAAAAAGTCAAGAGATAAAGTTGTTCCAAATTTAATGTAGATTTTAAAAATAATTTTTATTTAAAAAAAACAGTGTCGTACCATTTTTTTCTTCAATAATATTTAGTTTAAATACCATAGGGACGCCACTGATGAAAATAAAAAAAATAATAGCATCAAAAAATGTAATTTTATGGTAAAACAACGTGTACTAAATTTAGTGATTTTCGTCCAACAGGGCCCTGAGATATTAAAAAAAAACTCTTTTTAGGGGCGAAATTCAGGGGGTGTAAATCCGAAAAGGGGGGCCACTCGCCAAAAATAAAAAATATGAGTCACCTATTTTTTTTCAAGAATCTATGACCAAATTTTGTTGCATTAATTTCCGAACACCCTGTAGTAGGAATCAGTGAGATCGAAAACTGTGATGGACTGCCGGCAATCAAGAAGCAGACATACTCGCCAAAGAGGGGGAGGCAGATGACCCACCACTTGTGATGATTAACACACTGAAGGAAGCTATATGAACTACCATCAAGGTCAAGCAGCAAGAGACGTGGCAACACCGTGAGGACTGCGCTACAGCTCGAAGACTATAACGGCCTACACACATAACGATTTATCGTACTGCATGCAGTACGATATCCATCGAAACTGCCGCATTAACGATAAATCGTAGCGTATGTAGGGAAATTGGATGGTTTGCAGTATGCAGTCGTCAAATCGTTTGCAGTACGGAGCTGCTGTAAAATATCGTATCAACGGGTCGTGTCTGGGATGGGGTTTGAACGCGTGGAGTGTATTCCCTGCCGCAGCGCGCAGTTACGACATAATTTTTATTTATTTTTGGTTTAATCAATATTATGGATTCAAAAAATAAGACGTTCTGGGAAGACTTTATTGATTTATATAGAGAAAATAGATGTCTATGGGACGTGAAATCAAACGATTATGCAAATAAAATGAAAAAAAAAATCCTTCTCTCCAGCAACCACTTTTTACACCATTTCGCTTTTTGATTTCTTTTTGTTCGTCATCTTCATCTATCAGCAATACCGCAGCTACAAGCACGGCAGCTTTCTTCTTTGAAATTCTTGACATAACGGTAGCCTTTCTCGACGAAAAGTGAATAATCTGAACTGCGGCAGTACAATGTGTTGCATCGTGTGTACAAAAAATGGCTGTACTGCAAGCCGTACGATTTTCTTTACGATGTGCAGTTCAACGCGCAGTACGATAAATCGTTACGTGTGTAGGCCGTTTATGGCCAGTGGTAGATAGCAAAAAGATAAGATGACAAAACACCTACTAGAGCACAAAAAGAACCTAAAGATTTCCAACGACGCCTACTGCAGAAAATGTGGAGAGGAAGATGAAACCATAAAGCACCTGCTGTGCCACTGTCCGGCACTGGAATACCGACGCTTTAAAACTTTAGAGCAAGGTTTTTTGGACGGACTAGAGGAAGCAGTAGAAGCCAACATCGGAAAGCTTGCAAAGAGCTGGAAGTGCTTTAATGCAAAGAAAGAATGAGAGGAAGGTTTGGTACAACAATACAGGGGTATCGCAATGGGCCCAAGGCCTCCGAGTGAGCCATAATATGCAGTGAGGCATGATATGCCCCAGGTATGCGGTTTTTAATTCTTCCTGATCAATTCAAACAAAATTCCTGAATTTCTTCATTTGTTAGCAAGTCGTCCAAGGTATGTATCTTAAGAATACTGCGATACAGCTATATCTCGAAAACCTCTAGCTTGTTAATAGCAGTTACTTTCAATGTCCAACCTTCCATGCTATAAATTAGCACCGACCACACGTAGCATTTAACGAATCTTAATATAAGGTTTAGGTCAAGATCAGAACAGACCAGAAACCTCAAGAATGCCTGTCGGTCTTGTTCGATAAAGTACTACCAGAAAGTATTACCAGTAAGAGCAAATAGTGCAGAACATAAAAAATATAGTAGGTTTCCTCAAATCTGGCATAACAATGTGTAAGTAAACAAAATTTGATGCGTGAAAGTTCTCAATTAATTTAATATTGTTATTGAATAAATATCTAGCTCTTTTCATATCTAGACTATAATTACTTCTGGAAGTTGTTCATTTTGAATATAGCCCAATAGACTTAGACATATTTTGTATTCTTTGTGTGCTATTAATAACGTTTCTACTATACAAAGTAAGGTCTTAATCAATTTTCCGGCCCAGATCGGAACTAACACGAACATAATAGATCGCACTAAAGCCGCAAAGACAAAGATGCACCGCGCTAGGTATAAATAGAAAGTGATTAGTTCGCCATACATTGTTGAACGTATCTAGATATAGATCGTTCCGCCGTCAAAGTACCGGAGATACGAGAGAACCGCAATCTAAAATAGATAAAGCGCTAAAATACGAGCTTGTTAAGCGGAACGGTTCATTAGCGGTTACGTTTAACGAATTATTGCCGACGAGGACGGTAACCATTAATAATAACGGCGAAGGTACGAAGATAATTTAGAATTTAGTCGGCTTTTCCCGTTCGGACTTCTGCCTACGCCATCCAGTTCAAGTGCGTCGCATCAAGGTGCAGATATTCGTCGACGAACGATTAAAAGACTTGAGGTCGATATTCTTTATCAATGTTGAAAATGATACAAAAGAAAGCAATATGAAGAAAAAACAATTGTAATTATACTTGATACCAATTAAACTTTTAGTTACGTAATCGAGGGCGCTATTTTCAAATTCATTGTTGCCAACCATGGACATTTCCGGCGCCTGGCTGACTAACTGAAATTTAAATTTCCCGCTGGAGATTCAGGTGGTAGCTCTGCTCTAAAAAATGTCAAGTTACAGCATTTATGTATTTATTTCGTGACATTGTCATTCGTTTTGACACTTTAATTTTGTATTACGGGTTTTTGGTTTAAATGAGTAGTGTTGTGATACTTTAAGCTGAAAAATGTTTACTAACAGACCTTGCAGTCGACATTGTTCTTTTTAGAACATATTTTAGTTCGAAGTGTACAAGATACTGTACAATAATGATAAACGTGTCTGTGTTTTTCGAATTCGAATTTAGTTAATATTTTCACGTTTCACGTTGTTACCGAGGTATAAAGGCCTTTTGCAGCCGGATACTGCCAGCATGAGGGGGTAGAGAACCTGACTTTGAATTAGAATTAGTTTGAGTGTATTTAGAATCGAAATCTATATACAGGGTGTCCCAGAAATAAGTGCAAGTATTTTAACTGGTAGTATAGTTCAACTCCAGAAACACGCCTATGAGGTTTTTTCGCGAAAAAAAAATCGAAAATTCGAAATTTTTTGAAAAAATTTTTGGATTTTTTTTTAGTTAAAAAACATAATTTCTTGATAATATGGCAACATAGGTATTAGATTAAATTTACAAGAAAGAAAATCCAGAAAAAATCGAGTGGTTCTCAAAATTTTAGCAAAAAATATTTTTTTTTTAAATTTTCAAAGTAAAATAACTCCGTTATTTTGGACTGATTTGAAAAACGATAAAGAGAAAATATGTTTCTTTTATCAAGATCTACCTCCCCTTAAAATACTTGCACTTATTTCTGGGACACCCTGTATAATATATAATAAAGTAAAAATTATGAAAAAGTTATTAGTAGCAATGTCACTCAATAACTTATTCTCTTTGGCCACAGATATATTACATCACACTATTATTTATATGCAAAAATAAAACAAAAATAACTAATAACATAATTAATCCTACTATCACACACACTACATAACACAAAATACAAATTATTAATAAAACTGAATAAACCTGATGAGTAATGTTGAATAACACACCATTCTAAAATAGGTCTTTTCATGTAACCTTTCTCAATATACAATAAACATTATCCATCAAAGCAATAAATACTTAATAAAAATTAGTATTAATAAAAGCACCAGCCAGATTAAATTCAAATTAGTTGAAAATATAAGTATAATTCGTTGAAAAATTCAGATTTCTATTCTTTTAAACGTTGATAAGAACAGTTAAATATAGTTTAAAATAAATTAAATAATAAATTAGTAATATTTTTTGAAAATCAAAATAGTTTTAATACAATCCGTACCACAGTGTCTACTACAGATCACATTTGTATTCAATGTCTAGATATTTTTGGTTTTAGCCAAAGCGTTACCACCTATAAAACTAGTAGGTATGTTTAAAAAAAATATATATACAAAAGAATGACAGTCGATCGAGCAAGTCAGTGTCAAAGACAGAGACAGTCAGATCATCGAATGTCGATATATTTTCAACAATAAATTAAATTTACTTATCCTAAGTTCACCGTACATGTCAAACGAGAAAAATGATCATGAAACGAACTATAGCATTCAAATACAACGTAAACGGGTTAGTTCTACAGCAAAACGACAAACATAAAAACACTCCTGACCTGGACTTTTGGTTTCCTGGCCTGGAGGCGGACAGTGTATGTACTTGCTCCCGCTGGAAATGATAACATTTCCAGAGAGCCTTTGCCTGGACAAACTGGAAAGCGGCTCGTAGACACTACTGCTGCTACCTGATAATCAGTCACACAATACCACTTACATACCGAATTATATACATATATTTACAATGAAAATATAAGTAAAATTACAATTATGTGAAACACACAAGGTATTTCATTGAAATCTACTTCAAATGATATAGCAAAAACGTACGATTTAAAGAGGTTTGAAAATGTTCATTCACTGTCATTGATATCTTAACTATTAGGTATGAATACATTTGGCATATTATATTTATATCTTGGTATAAAAATAAGGTAGTTAAGGGCTTATCTTTTCGTACTTAGTACTCTTTTGACAATATCTTCGGTTTGAAAAAGATGTAAAGGGCTTTCGATGAGAAGAGAGAGATTTTTAAAATATTACCCTTCTTTGCTATCAGCTAAAATTAGCCATCCTGATGGTTTTATTTTTTTTTTGAAAAATCGCGCAATGTTTGTTAAATTAAGACAGCGCCCCCTAGTATCTACTGTCAAATGCATATTATTTGTGTTTATAAAGCAGAATATAAAGTAACGCATTTTTAAACGATACCTAGTTCAATGAATTTCGATTAGCAAATACGGAATTATAAACATTTAAATAAAAACAGATCTTTCCCCACCTATATTTTAGCAGATGTTCAGAAAAAGAATCAGAGATTTGCTGAAGATTATGACGATATTATTTATAGTACCCCTAACCTAAGCAAAATTTTGTAAAAATTCAATTTTCCTATTCGCCAAAGCAGTTGCGCCCTCTAGAGGCAGTTCTAGTAATTTTATAATAATTTTCAGCAATTTCTCATAGCCATCTATAGTCATAAATATTTTTTCTCAGGCTCTACAGCTGAGAGCCATTCTTAGTGGGACACACGGTACAATAAATTCTAAACTTTGAATACGAAGACTAAGGAAGGAGCATAATGCTATCCATGTATTCATGCATGGCGGGCGGAAAAAGCACTCTAGGGTGGTGATCCTTGACAGTTCTTTTTGACGATTCATTTGACACATTTGAATTTGATTTGAAATTTTGTGGATTTGTCAGTCTTTACGGAGCTTATTTTATGTTATTTATTATTTATTCTACTACTGATAGTTGTATAAAGGTAGTAAATCTAGATGGAAAGTGTGGCAGAACTTAAATTAACAGTGACACTATCGCGATTTATCGAAAAAGACTCTAAAATAGTTGGTTGTGTAGCGTGCGGTAGATCTCGGCAAAAATTGAGTGAAATAATGGAACAACTTTTCGCTAGTAAGTGACTATATAATATACATGTGCAGTAAACACGTGCAGTAAATCGATCATTTATGAAATTCACTTAAATTAACTAAATTATACATTTTTCTTTCATTTTAGCTTTTATTTACTACTTGTCAAAGATCAGATGTCAAAGAATTTTGATACGTTAATTTGACTTACCTGCTTCAGTAGCGTATCAGATGTTTGTGTTAATAAATACTTATTATAACTTATCTATTTTTATTAGAATTATATATTTTTATAACAATTTTAATAACTACCAACATTTATTCACAACGTAAAATAAAATAACAAATTATTGAGTCTACCCTACATCATAGTTTTATATTTTTTAAATAAAATTAGAACGGCACTGATAAACTGGAATTTAAGTTGGCCATATTTGTGGCCCATCACGGTGTACCTAAGATTTTTGATATGCTCCTTCCTTAGTCTTCTTATTCAAAGATTCTAAACAAATTTTATGTATAGTAGTCCAGATATTGACATTACATTGACACATTTTGACGCAAGTTTGACATAGTGATTTTTTCTTTGCATGCACTAATATATGATTCATGAGTTGAATACATATTTTTTTTCGGATTACAGAAATAAAAAGTTTACTAGAATTGTCTTTGGTGATTTTAGAGATATAGATTTCTAACAATTCCAAGGTGTTGGTTTAGTTTAATCCATAGACACATTATAATTGTTATTTGCGTGTATTTACACGCATTTGACATTAAAAAATATGGCCATATCTTAAGCATAGATTAACACAGATTTATCAGTAAGACGGAGAAACTAAATAAAACAAGAACGCGTTCGGTCCCTTTAAATATCCTATTTAAAGGGATTGAATACAAAGCGCATGCTTATGTTGAATCGCTACAATAAAACTGTGTCACAGATTAAGTATTATTTCAATTGATTTTTTTTCAAAAGGCAACAATGCATTCGAGAAAAAAACGATGTCTGACAATGCCATAGCCCTATTAAAGGTCAGAGGTCACGGCGCGCCCAAGGTGAAATAAGTGACACATCTGTAGGTTAATATGTGTCTTAAGGCCACAAAATTTGTTCAAATTAGTCATGGAATACATAAAAATTGAAAATGTTTGAAAACCAGGTACACTAATAAACTTGTAGTACATAAAGTTGCTCCTTTTCGACATTCACAGAAGTACTATTTGTTTTTCAGACTTCTCTATATCTTTTGCTATATCCCACGAAGTAGTTGCAGGAGAGACAATCTTATATTTATATAATGAATTACTATATACAATTAAAATCATTATAAAAATCTAATACAATACCTGAACTGTCCAAAGAGCGGCTATCCCTATAGATTCGCTTCAAGGTCGACAGAGATCCGGAAGTCGCAGGCGCAGAAGCGGCCGGTTCTTTGCGCGGCGCCGCCTCCGGCGCAGTCGTTTTCACCTCGTACTCGTGAGCTCGTTCGGTTACGTTCGGCTGTAGCACCTTCTTGCTCAATCGCGCGAGCTCACTCAGGGGAATGCTCGTACGACTCGCTTCGGGGTAGTTTTCAAAGTCCTTGGCCTTCTTTTGCACGTTATACAGACTGGGAGGGTTCATCCTAAAAGCGTTCAATGATAACAAACGTATTTAAAGGTGTGTATATATACGGGGTGTCCCAGGTTCCCTTCGTACATAGAGAAACTTTAGATTTTTGGATCTAAAACATTGCCAGTCAAGTTCTTAATAAAAATTTGGACAATCTACTTAGATATAAATATGAATTGAATATTATTTTCTGAAACATAGGGATGCTATAATTATTTGTCAGTGTATCAAATTGCTATAAACAAATAGTAGTCAAGTAAAAGAAGGTTGAAACCACTACTTAATTCGTCGACTGGGACTTTTCAGGCGGATTGTGTACCTTTTGAGAAGCAGTTTTACGAGGAAAAATTGTACCACCGTTCTCGGTCGGCTTTGGTCGAAAAAATGACCGAAAAATCAGTTTTTTGCAAATATCTACCAAAATATGCAATTTACAAAATTTTTCTTCAAATAAAAAATGAAGCTTAGGTAATATCTTCAAAATGATCCTCATTTTATACCTAGAATTAGTAGTTTTCGAGATATGCCGCGTCGAAGATCCCTCAATTTTCTCTCCAAGTCTTAACGCTCCGAAGATAGATTTCATAAACATTACATTGATTGACAGGACAAATTGTTTAATAACTTGGCTAAAATTTAATATTTTTTCATGATTCAAAGTTTGTTTATAAGGTAGAATCAACAGTTATCAAATTTTGAAAATTTTCTCATATTTTATGATAATAAAAAAACCGGGCAAACATTCCTTGATCCAAAAATTTTCAGATTTTTACAAACTTATTCATATTAACTAATAATTGTAACAACTTATTTGTGAAGATTTTTTTATCAGTTTTTCTTAAAGTCTCTATAAGGCAACTCACAAAGTTTGAAGTATTTTTTCGATCATATTGTATAACTGGACGAAAGTAGGCCTTATTACCAGCGCAAAGTCCTGAAACACCCTGTATATAGTTTGATAACCCCCTAAAGTAGCAAATAAACACAAATTCTTATATAAATAAAAAACTAAAAAAATATGTCAATATACAAATTTGGTTAATTACAATTTAAATAAACTAAGAAAACCAGGTATACAATGCTTTGTTAAGTTTCCTAACAACTCATCAATTTGAAAACAAAAACCACAAAAAATCAGTCTAGGTCACTTACATGGGAAACAGATACGCCAAAATATAATTTATTACGCTCCTGTAAGAATAAATGCCTATGTATATTTCAATATTGACAGATAAGAAAAATAAATTGAAAATATATAACAAAAAGTCTGTAAAAAGAATTTCAGTATAGTAAAATATTCAAATTAATGAATAAGTTAAAGTATAAAAACATTATAATATTAGTGCCACATTTTACAGCCCTCAAGACAAGTTATATTATGTAATTGGACTATTATTAGCAGCATAGTTTTTAGATCCTACTTAACGTTTTTGTCATTACTTTGATTTTTAACTAGGTTATTAAAAAAAATTACTGACCTTCTAGCCTCAACAACAGCTACATCCTTCGTCGTATTACCACCCTCTTCAGGCTCGAAATTAGGCGCGGTCTCGCCCTCCCTAATACCATCGTCCCTCTCTCTTCTACCTTTGGGCGATTGTGCGTCCGAGGCGGGCGTGGCCACGCTAGCCACACCCCCGCTGACGTCACCGTTGTACGCAACCCCGCCCATGTCCTTTTCGCTGTCGATGTCATTTCTGATGCGTCTGAGATTGTGATGCGTGGGTTTGGTCCGTCCCGGTGAATCTAGCCTAATCGGTAGTTGTTGGATTGGGTATTCGTTCGGCGGCCATACAGGTCGATCGAGCTTTTTGGGACGACTGTGGAACTCGCGTAGTACCGGAGTGCGTAAGAATTCCTCTTTTTGTCGGACGCTTTGGCGCACTCTGGATATTCGTAAGGTGTCGTCGATTTCTTGACCTGTTACTGTTGAGTTGGAGCCGAAGGAAGTTACGCTGTCTTTACTACCTAAAATAAAAGTAAGCTCTATATCAATCAATAATAATTTTGGCGGGATCAAGCGCTAGACGTCATTTACTAGGGCTTATTTCTTTATGGCACTTACTGACCGTTGGCCTTAAAAAGGTTGCAATTTATTTTTATATCGAGTAAAAATGTTTTATGTGAATTTTTATTAAATTGTCTAGATGCTAGAGATTGACATTTATACAGGGTGAGTTTTCTACGATGTTCTCTATGGGTATCTCGAAAACTACTGGAGATAGAGAGTCAGTTAAATGGGGAAGAAATTGCAGTTTTGTGGGGTCATAAATATGCGCCTTTCAGATTTTTGAAAAAGTTCATAGCTTACTAGATATTTTGAAAAAAAAACAAATTTCGGCTATTTTAAAAATGGTCCTTAATTCCATTATAATCTATTTTACACAAAAAGTTTTCAGATATAAGTTGTAGATAATCACATCCTTAATGAGATTGTGTTCCACTTTTTGTTCTAAAGCCTGTTATTTTTGGCATATGACACAAACTTATGTTTTTTTTAAAAGCGCCATTTTTCAAGCTTTTCAGCGATATAAGGTATAATATGTACATATTTTTTTTGGAAAAATTACTTAGCGTTATATTATAGAGTTATAGCCAATTCTTATCTTTCTTGACTAATTTCACTTAGTTGGTATTCATTCTTATTCTGTGATTTATTTAATTACTATAATTTATAACTTATAAAAAGACAGAATAAGTTATTAAACGGTTCTTTGCAATTTACATTACACAAACTAAAACTTAAAAAAATAATATCACTACAAACACTTTAAGTTATTTTAGAAAAGGTTCAAAAAATATACCGCATAAAAAAATCTAAAATGGATAGGTCAGGTAGTCGAGGAGGCCCATGTAATTGGTCCACCTCTTCCTATCCTTGAGTTTAAATAATTATGATGTGAATAATTTTTAACATTTCTTTTATTATGAGAGGGAGTGTCATAATGAAAGTCATATTGGAACAACTCTATTGATGCGCCAGACTCTAAATTTAACTTTCCTAACATGTCTTGAAAACCGTTCCCTAAAAAGCGTATGTAACGTATACTCGAAAATGTATGACCAAGAAAAGTTGAACCAAAACGCTTTGGCTACACGCTTTCCTTCACTTGAAAAATTCATATTTACAATTTTTGTTTATTTTAATTTACAAAGTTTGGATGTGAGAATTTCACATTTCTGAGAGCGAAGACGATTGAACTTGTTTCCATGCCTAAGTGAAATTGTTTAAAAACGATGAAAATTGGCTGTAACTCAGTAATTTTTCGAAAAAAAAAACATTTTATAGCTTATATCGCTGAAAAGCTTAAAAAATGGCGCTTTTTATGAAGTCATGGCCAATTGTGGTTTCCATTTAAAAAAAACCTAAGTTTGTATCATATGTCAACAAAGACAGGCTTAGGAAAAAACGGAGAACACAATCTCATTAAGGATGTGATTATCTACAACTTTTATCTGAAAACTTTTTGCCTAAAATAGATTATAATGGAATTAGGCACCATTTTTAAAATAGTCGAAATTGTTTTTTTTTCGAAATATCTAGTAAGCCATGAACTTTTTGAAAAATCTTCAAGGCGCATATTTATGACTCCTCAAAACTGCAATTGTTTCCCCATTTAACCGACTCTCTATCTCCAGTAGTTTCCGAGATACCCATAGAGAACATCGTAGAAAACTCACCCTGTATAAATCTCTTATTTTATCGATTGTCATTCCCCAACCGTCTTTGACTGGATCTTTCACTCGGTCAAAAAGCATTAAAGTTGCAAATTAATGACTTACTGTCAGCCACTGATGATGAAAGAGAACTAGTACTCTCCCTCCTGTGATCTTCTGGACCGAGTCTATAAGCGTGTTCTGGCAAGCCCATATTTTCTGCGCTCGAAGGTAGGTATGGCGGCTTGTACATAGCCTTCATTGCCTCAGCGTAGTGCGCCGAATCGCCGTCGGACGAATTTAGTGACGTGGCGCCACTGTATTCGGTGCTCGACAGGAGATTACTACCTTCGCTTGCTCTGCGGCCCATTTTACGATAGAGGGGCACCTGCGGTGCGGCCCTGGATTTCTGCCGAAGTTGTACCTATAAAAAAAACAAATTGTTATCAAAATTCACTTTATATTTAGAATCCGAAAGAATAAGATTATGTTACATTAATATATATGGCGTTTTCTAATCTATAATGTGACGTAATTATTTTTTTCGTAATTCTGTTTGTATTATACATTATACCCTTGGTTTTTCATAGGCTTGGTGCATTTCATTCGATTTAATTTTTTCGAAATTTAGACAGCAGCTCGGTATGGCAGAAATCAGAAATGTCCGGCTCTGTATTTAACGCAGTCCTGCTTATTGTTCATGTTGATCGCATTGAAATAATATTAAAATCGTGGTTCCGTCATAAATATTTGCGAACGATATAGCCCTAATTATGCCTCAACTAGCAAAACCTGTGCATAAAATCATCATCGGCGAATGTACCAAGCCTATATAGGGTTAATCACCGAGTTATTAGATTTTTGCAACTTGTAAGTTTCTACGATTAAAATAAAGGTAAATTTGATTAAGGTTTATCGCATTTTAATATTACCGTTTTTAAATAATTAGGTTTTTCTTAAAATACCGTAATAATTTTAAATCTTCATTTCTCTAAGCCTATTTAAGTTTTTAAAACCAAATAGTGACGTATTTCTATTTACTAAATTTTGTGTTGCAATAATAAAAATTAAACTGCCTTATACAGAGTGTCTAAAATTTATTTTAAATAATTACTAGCTTTAAATGGCAATAACTTGTTTAATTTAAATGGAACACCCTGTATATTTTATGAGAATCAGATGCACAATTTAATTGTCTATCGAACTGTATTATACCAATTTTTACCTATCTCTTCAAGTTTTCGTAGAAAACGTATTTTCTTATAATTTAGACCTCATTTATCAATATGCCCATGGAATATTGTCATTTAGAGTATTTTTAAAGATGTAACAAATCTTTAAAGAGTAGAGATACTAATATTGTCGATATAGTTCGTTTATTTCATTAAAAATTAAAAAAAAACTGTTTAAATATTTGTTAACCAGTTTACACCAGTTAATATGATTCCAGTATTCAAGCTATATGAATTGACTGTTTACATTGATTAATAATAATTGCTCCAAATGATAAAAAATTGAATTTTGTATCTGTATTAGACAATATGGTAAAAAGTAACACCTTAAAAATCATATTTCTTTCTTTGCGAATTTTTATTTATAACAATAAAGACGTTCATTTTCATAACTTTTACATTTTTTAGAATAATTTATTAACTCACATAATTAAGTATGTAATTAATTAATATTTGGAGGGATATAATGGTGGTATATTTAATTAATGGTATACTCTTTTATAAAGATTTAAATAGTCTTCTTTTTGTATACAAATGGGCTAGTAATATTATCGTTTTTAGCACCTGTACATTTTGTACATTTGTCGCTTTAAAAACAATCTAGAATGTCAATATTCCATGGGTATATTGATAAATGAGACTTAAATTATAAGAAAATACATTTTCTACGAAAACTTGAAGGGATAGGTAAAATGTGGTATAATACAATTTGACAGACGATTAAATCTGATTCTCCTAAAATATACAGGGTGTTCCATTTAAATTAAACAAGTTATTCCCGTTTAAAGCTAGAAATTATTTAAAATAAATTGTTAGACACTCAGTATGAGGTAGTATTATTTTTATTATTGCAACACAATAACTGATCAATAAATAAACTTCAGTAAATATTTAGTATTAAAAACTTTGATATCCTGGAGAAATGAAGCTTAAATTGTAGCTCTAATAGTCCCTCAAAGAACCCAAAACTTACAATTTGTAAAAATCTAATCGTTTAGCTACATAACTCCGTGTCGTATGTGGTGAACAACCATGTATAGAAATAAATCTATAGAAAAATGGATATCGTAATCAATTGAAACAAAGCTGGGTGTAATAACTTGTGATATAGCTTTATCCATAAAGTTTATAGTATCTAATAATTTTGATCTTACTTCATTTGGCCGTAGAATTTCTGAATAAATATCCTGTTGTTGCGAAGCGGTATAACCTCGACCATACGGATCCAAAACACTTTCGGCGCTACGCTGTTGGGCTTGTCTGGAAAGTTCGTTTCCAGGCACACCCTTAACTACCCTCGAGTGCGGTGGATAGGATGCCGGTGATTGGTAATGATGGGCTTGCTGTAGGTATCTCCACGACGCAAGATCCGCTCTGATTTGTTGTTGCTGTTGTTGCTGAGCGATATGCCTACTCAAAATCTGCTGGGCTCGCAGCCTATCCAGTTGTGGATCGGGAACTGGCGGCGCTTGGTTGGAGACGGGGTTATGAGCAGTATCCGGAAATAGCTAAATCAGAAAAAAATATTTTAATATAGTGCAGTAGAAAGCCTCGGAAATTTTTCGGATTTATTATGACATATTACCTCTATAAACCTATGTGGCGGATTCATCTCTCGAAAAAGTCCTATATGGTTATTTCTCAGTGCAAGAAAATCTTCAAAATAAAATAGTTATTTTTTGTAAACACCGCTGTGTTAATCCAACGGAGACTACTTGTCAGCAGCAGGTTTGCTGATAAACAAATCTGCCTAAGGAACAAAAAAATAACTATAGTATTTACAAAAAATAACTATTTTATTTTCTAGATTTTCTTGCAGTGGCGAAATACCCATATTATAGGATTTTTTTGGAGCGATTACCTCTATATTATACAGGGTGTCCCAGAAATAAGTGCAAGTATTTTAACTGGTAGTATAGTTCAACCCCAGAAACACGCCCATGAGGTTTTTTCGCGAAAAAAAAATTGAAAATTCCAAATCTTTTGAAAACATTTTTGGAATTTTTTTTATTTTTTATTTAAAAACCATAATTTCTTGATAATATGGCAACATAAGTATTAGATTAAATTTACAAGAAAGAAAATCCAGAAAAGATCCAGTGGTTCTCAAAATTTTAGTAAAAAATCATCTTTTTTGGAAATTTTCAAAGTAAAATAACTCCGTTATTTTGGACTTATTTGAAAAGACGATAGAGAGAAAAAATGTTTCTTTTATCGAAATCTACCACCCCTTAAAATACTGGCACTTATTTCTGGGATACCCTGTATATTATTCCAAAAACATTGTTTCAAGATAATATGCAAAAATTGTTTTAGCAAATGTTTGAAGCATATATTTTACAAAAAATGTATCCATTGAGTGGAATCCTTGTTTTGTATCTCGTTTTTTTCTAGAAATAAAAATTAATATTTAATTTTTAAAGAGAAAAAACTTAAAAATAATTCAAATAAGGCGGATTTCGTTTGCAGTATGATGCATATTGCGGGTTTTGCAACAGCAAGATATTTGCATCTTAATTTCATTTATTAGATATGTAATTTTATTAAAAAAATAGGTATTTGATATGGATAAGATGTCAGTACCTAGTAATATTATACTTGTGTAACAAGCCTATGAAAAAATGCGGGATTTGCAACAATAATGAGAATAAAAGCAAATATTAGTGGATAAGACGGATTTTGCTGCAGTAACATAATTTGTAGTGAATTTTATATAAGAATAGGCGACTTTGCTTTGCTGAAGGCTGAAGACTTTTGGGACTATGTTTATGTAGATTTCAGGGTCCACTATTAATATATGGCATTTGTATTTTTTTAAATGATGGATAAGGCGGGTTTGCTACTTGAAGCCTCATATGTTATAGTCTGGTCATTTTAACTAAGTGGTGATTCATGATAAAACTTAGTGTGATAAACAAAAACAATGTCAAAATACATTCTTCTTTTGATATTGACATTCTTCATACATCAATTCTTTTTTATTTGTAACCGGTTTTTGGCTATTCAGCCATCCACAGACCTTTGTCAAAAACCCATGTTTGTTTCTAATATAATAATATTAGTCAAAAATATAATAATATTAGTCAAAACGAGCAGCGATTTTGAAAAAAGTTTGATGATGGCTGAATAGCCAAAACCTGTGACAAGTAAATATTCTTTAGTGGTTTGACTCGAAAACAGAAAATAGCCATCTTATCCGATAGTCAAGCAGCACTAAACGCGATCAACTCAGTAACTATCAATTCGAAGTTGGTCAAAGAATGCCTAGAGAAGATGAACAAATTAGGGAAAGAAAATAATGTCCTCCTACTCTGGGTGCCCGCACACCAAGGGATAGAAGGCAATGAAAAAGCAAATGATCTAGCTAGAAAAGGAGCGAACACTCCACTAACTGAACCAGAACCGTTCTGTTTTCTAAGCGGAAACCAACTTGCGGAACCAAAACGGAACTGAAGAACCTAGAAGACTCCGTGCATAACTTGGAATAACGGTCTAAGACACTCGAAAAAGTTCCTTAGAACTTAAGACCGAGAAAACTCAAAGAACAACAGAAGCCTGGAAAATTTTTCTAGATTTAAGTAAAAACAATCTTCGGATTGTCACGGGGTTTCTAACAGAACACTGTCTCCTCAACGAATACCTCAGTAGGCTGAAGCTGAGAAACAACGGCGAATGCAGATTCTGTGAGGGAAATGGAGACAACATCAGAACACCTTATCACTGAGTGCGCCGAGATGACGACCGTTCGTGCCATGAACTTTGGTCCGGCTGATGTCGAGAATGGAGAGCTGGCCTGTGTGGAGCCGTCTGAGATACTGGCTTTTGTTAAAGCCCTGAGACTGTAAGATAAGTTTTAACTCGTTATAACTCAAGAAAGGGGAACACACAATAGATCTGTAAGGTTCGCGGTGATTAACTCCCCTCCTAAATATTCTACATTCTACAATATAATAGTATTATCAAAATTAGCAGCGGTTTTTGATAAAGGTCTAATGATGGCTGAATAACCTAAACCTGTCACAAAGATTTTTTAGTTGTTTGACAATTGATTTTGTTTATCACATTAAGTTTTATTACTTATATGGTACGACCTAAGCCTTACCCTTTGGAGGACGTCTTCTTCTTTGGGAACAACCAGCAAGTGCAGGTATTGCGGACTATTCGAGATTCTTTGCACCACTTCTGGATAAGAGAGATTGGCCGTTGGGACGTTGTTGACAGCTACTATTCTGTCGCCGTTCCGAAGACCCGCTTGTCTTGCAGCTTGACCATGAACCTCCTTCACGAAAATAGTGTCCATGGGCTTGAACAACGACCCGCTCTGGGCGTATCGGCCATCGTCTTCCTAAAAAGAAGTTTATTATAGTATCAACTTAATATCATAGAGTATAGATAGAAAAGAAGCATCAAAATGTCTTAGAAATGGTGATCGGTAGACAAAGAGGATAAATTTTAAAATAAAAAAATAAAACTGTGTTGATACCAAAAGAGATTTCAACAACTTCCATTGTCTGTATTTTTTTTTTAGTTTAGTGGAACCAATAGACAGTTAGATTCTCTTCTCAATCAATTCATAAAATGACTCCATTAAATTTACGATTTGGGAAGAGAAAAACCTCCTTGTCAGTAGAAAAGATAGATTTTCTGTATAAGAAGTGCCAATTTCTTATACTATAGAAAATCTACATACACGGGACAGTATTTACGTTTTCAGTCAAAACCATTCTGAAGCAACTAAGAACGGAGTAATTATTATATATAGGATCCTATATCTCCTACGCGGAGCAAAGGGCTTCAGTAAAAGCTCTCCATCGGGTTCTGTTTTTGGCAGTTGTTTTTGCTTCCTTCCATGTTGACCCTACTTGTTGAAGCTCATCCAGTATGGAACGTCTCCATGTTTGAGCAGGTCGTCCTTGCTTTCTCTTTCCTTGGGGATTCCACTCCAACGCTGATCTCGCTATATTACTATCAGGTTTCCGCAAAGTGTGACCTATCCAACCCCATTTTCTTTTGCGGATTTCAATGCCTACTTCTTGTTGGTTTGTAAGATGAAGCAGGTCGGTGTTACGTATGGTGTCTGGCCAAAAGATTTTAAGTATTTTCCGCAAGCAGCGATTGATAAACACCTGTGGACGGTTGATGGATATTTTTGTCACTCTCCATGTCTCGCAGCCATATAATAAAACTGGTATGACGTTGGAATTGAATATTCTTAATTTTGTTTGTATGGAGAGTTGACGGGAGGTCCAAACTGATTTTAGTTGGCCAAAGGCTCGCTGCCTTCCTGATCCTGCTGACAATATCCGCGTCTGCGCCACCGTTTGCTGTTACAATACTTCCCAGGTAAGTAAACTCTGTTACATTCTCGACATGTTTGATTCCTTCATTGAATGGAGTGTTGTTGTTTGTGTTAATGCGCATTGACTTTGTTTTGTCGATGTTTATGCTTAATCCTACTTTGTCTGCTTCTGTTTTTAGACGTCTGAGCATAATTTCCATGTCTTTGAAGGATTGCGTTGTGAGACAGATATCATCAGCATAATCAAGATCCGTCAGATGCGATGTCAGAGTACATTACTTCCACCTACCACAGCAAACATTACTTCCCCTAATGTTTGCTGTGGCTTTAGTCAAAACGCTGTCAAGCACGATATTAAATAAAAGCGGCGATAATGTGCAACCCTGCTTTACTCCTATCCCTAAGTTAAAACTATCGCTGGTTCTGCCGTTGTGCAGCACATTGCATTCTGTGTTTCTGTAGAGTTCCTTGATTATATTAATTAGTTTTTCCGGAACACCTTTTTCTTTTAGAGTTTTCCATGCCATCGCATGGGGGATACTGTCAAAAGCTTTGACAAAATCTATGAATAATAAGAATAAAGGTGACCTAAATTCTATTGACTGCTCTATGATAATGCGCAATGTGTTAATATGGTCAATGCACGAGTGGTTCGGTCGGAAACCAGCTTGGTTCTCTCTCAGAGTAGGCTCTATATAGGAGTTTAACCGTAAATGAACTATCTTGAATATTATCTTGTGAATGGTGTTTAACAAAACAATACCTCTCCAGTTGTCACAGTTAGTGGTATCTCCTTTTAGTGGTATCTCCTCTGTTACGGAGTAATTAAACCTTTATATAATTGAGCAAACACGTAATATGCAGTAACCAAGCATCACTAAATGCTGAACTAAATAATATTAAAACATTTGCTTCAGAATGTTTACCCTGAGAAATATCTCTGTCATACAAATACAAATACAAATTTGTGACGTGTAGGGACTATTAGTAATACAGAAAAGCAGTTTCGCGAGCTAGGACATGTAAGGCATATTAATAAGCAAGTAAACAACTTGAGTATGATACTTAAATTTGATAAAAACCCGCACACTTCTAATTGACAAGTAGTAAACAAATTTGGATAACAAACAAAAAATGTTTAACCTTTCAGGGGGTATATCTAGGGGTGCCAACCGTCCTCATTTCAGAGGACAGTCCTCTTTTTGATCCTACTGTCTTTTTTTCTCTGGCGCATCGAAAAAGTCCTCTTTTTTATACAAAAAATCTTTTTCCACCAAACTCAAAATCTATAAAATTATCGTCTATCAAAACAATGCTTAATAAAATTGCCAATCTGGCAACAGCATGTCTTTTGCTAGCTTCACTCAGAAAAAGAAATATTTACGTACAAGAAATATTGGTGAATACATTAAGAAAGTAAAAAAGACCATTATCCGTATAACGTTTACATAAATTTTGGGTAAACTCTGGACATATTTAAGTGAGGTTTAAACATTTTTTGCCTGTCCTCTTTTTTTATACTCGAATCCTCTATTTTTAATTGTAAAAGTTGGCAACCCTAGGTATATCTGCCCCATCATCACAATCAAAATACAAAAATAATTATGAAAAGCTTTTAAAATGTAACTACTTCGAGAACTTTACAGCAAAAAAACATCTTTTTTTAAATGTTAACACCCGATATTTTTAAAATTTTTGATTAGGTACTTAAAATAAGCGTCGTATGGCCTGTTACAATTAGAACTTACCGCAATTGATTCCGGTGGGTATATGATAAAATGCCGAAGAGTGAATCCGAAACTGTTGTTTTGACGTTGAAGATACAAACTTCTAGCACCCTTACTACCACGAGGCAATGGTACCACGCCAGGTGGAACAACCTGTAACAAAAACAAACATATTTTTATAAAATATACACAAACAAAGCAAAATATAATCCAGTCCAACGTTTATCCACAAAGTGAGATAAAAATGTGTTATCTTTACGTACACCAATTAAAAATATTATGATATACATTTATCTATCGAAAACCCTTCAAGAATAGGTATACAAAACAATATTTAATATTTATTACAAAAAAAATTGAATTTTGAAAAAACTTACACGAATATTTCGTACAGCTTCATGATATTTAGTCAAACTTGACATAGTATTATCCAGAATAAAAAAAAAAACGTTTTTCTAAAGCACACACATTTAAACAGAAACCATAAAAAAACACAAGCTATATTTAAAAATGCGCTTGTTTGACCGTTCACACCATGTTCACACGATCACTCAACACGCACAGTTGCCGCACTTCGCCAGAACAATACAACAAACAAGAAATATGAACATTTAGATATTTGACGTGACTGAGAGTGATTTAAAACAATCTGCCGGCGTGAACGATAAACATGACATCGTAGTGGTTTTTAGATAAAAACTGATAAAAAAAGATACGGAAAACCAATCAATGGTTATATGTATATGTGTTTGGCCTCAGTAAATAAATTCAATAATCTAATAGCAAATATTGGTTCCTGATAGTGGAAACATTGTAATAAAATTCGTTGGACAAGTATATGTCGTGGCAGAATTCGTCGATATTCTTTGTCAACAGATACAAAAGGCACATATCTAAGACAAACTATTTTTTCCCAGAGAATGAATCTGTATCCCTGTATTTTTTCCGGGTTATCTATTTACACCTTGATATTCAAATTCAAATTTCTTTATTAGACCCCATTAAGTTTTACAGAATAATATTAGTATTAATAAATATGTGTCTAAAGGGATCGCACCGCGATTAAAAAACCGATACAATGGCACAAAGTGCAAGAGTGGTGCGACCCCAAAATATGTTTGATATATGTTTTACGATACCATTCAAAGATATTAAGATACACTTTGAATCAAATCGACAAGCCGAAGACAGCCATACCATCCTTTTCTCTAAGCAACTCAAGGCACTTTTGAGCCATCTTCTTGCATTTAATAATGAGCGTATTATTATTAGACATACATACTGCCATTACTCGCTGACGAGTTTTTGACACGCATCAAAAGATGGTCACGCAAGGCGTTTTCTTTCATGAGCTTTTCTGTGACTGAAAAGCTCGATACGTGATGCTATCTGCCTACCGCACTCCGGACATTCAAAAATCTCATTGCTTTGTTGTGTCTTAATTTTTGGTTATCGCTGTTAACTGAGTTTATTCACTCATTCTGCTTGTTAATCCCCTTTAAGTTTACGTGGAAAATATCCTTGTACCTTTTGAGTTGTCCACCCGGCCTCCTCTTACCGTCTACAAGCTCACCGTAGCAGAAATTTTGGTATGCGATTTTCTTGCATTCTGCATACGTGACCAGCCCATCTTAACCGGGACTTTGTAATCATTACTTCAATCACCACAACTTACTTCAATGTACCACTTTGGTACAATTTTTTAAAGCACAACAAAATACATCTGCAAATGACTTTAACCGGTTTGGTCGCTGTGAATTTCTTCATAAATTTCTACATAAAAAAACTTCCTGGAGAAAGACACAAATCGAGACGAAAAACATGAAATAGAAATTCAGAAAACCCAATTATAAGTATGTATAGGTTGAAGAAATCTAAGTAATTCTAATACTACACACAATACTTGGAAAACTTTAAAATATAAAATAAAAATCTAAAATTTTATTAAAAAAAACGCAAATATAGAAGCATGTTAGAAACAGTAAATTTTCAAGTTTTTTTTTTGGGTTATTTAATATAGGCAACGCTATGGACATTACAACGTTTATAATACGTCGTTAATTAATGCGGATTTTCTCCGAATGGTATCGGTAAGCGCGTTTAATGCAATATCAACGACAATAATTATTAAATATCTATTCATTTTCGGTGCGCGTGGGAAATAATTATTGTACCAAATCATCCTGGATTTGAAAATGTAGTACCACTGTACCAAATAGAATTAAAAGTATCAAATTTGGTACAAATGTACCACTGCGGCAACACTGTTTTCTAGAATATAATCGGCACGGACACGATCCCCGTTGTCCACTCGGTGTAACATATATTGAAGGCCCGGACGTGGCCCGGTGTCTACTGCACGGAACGTGCCCGGCTCGGGTACGGCCCGGTGTACCATGAATCAGCCTTAACTACCCTTATTCATTCGATACGACAAAGACCTCGAGCTGTTATTGCCGCGAGAGATACACACTATTAAAATTATTATAAAATTATTGTTTTTGTCAATATCAACAATATTTTTGTCAATTTTGTCACGTGCAGCTCGTAAAATAATAAATAGAATAATTCAAAAAATGAAATTGTTAGGAACACATCTAAGATTACAGGAAAGTGTTTTTATCCAAAATGCCAGTGTAATTTTTTCCACAAGGCGTTTGAACTTATTGCTAAAAACAACGTTTTGATTTACCCCGGTATAAACCCACCTAACCAAAGAATATAAGCCATTAAAATAATAAAAAATAATGCCAATAAATTTATCTTCACACTAATACCATAAATAATAAAAATAGGATTACAAAATAAACAGTTATGTAACATCAAACTTGGTCAAATTTTTAGGGTGGCGCGGCGGAACTTTGTGCCGGTGAGTATATTTTGAGGAATGCTGCTAACTAATAATCAATTATTCAAAAAAAAATCAACTATAAAATAGACGTCTTCATATTTTACATTACTTAAAATATAATTTTCATATTTACAACCCTCTATATCCACAGAATGTTAAAAGCTTCCGAGTTAATAAGAAAAAATGAGCGTTACGAGTATAAGCTTAGGACGGACGATGCAGTTGCCAGATTGGAATGCTCCTGTTAACATTTTACGATGTTTTACGATAATCATATCGCTTTGATGTTAAAAAAACGCGTATAAAAGCGGATTTAGGATGTAATAAAATAAAGATTATGACCCACAGGTGAACATACACGTAGTATAACTCTGTTACTGAAGATATTTACTTAAATACTGGGTGATACAGCGTTCGGAAAGAGTTTCTCCCTATTCTTAAACTACTATAATTCATATTCTAATACCAAGTGGTTTTTGATTAACGTGACGAAGTTTTCTGCACATTTAAAGCTTTCCCAAAATTATAATTGTCATTATGATTCTATCCACATATTTTATAAGACACTCAAAAAAATTTCTTCGAGCTTACGACCGAGAAAAACTCACTCGCACTCAACGCACTCACTGAGTGCGCCGAGACGACAACCATTCGAGACAAAAACTTCGGTATATCTATCAATCGGTTTTAAAACGTTTAACGTAGTTTTAAAACGTAATAGGGACAGCATGTGACAAGTGGATTTTGATAAAACTCGCTTAAATTTGATTGGCTGTGATTTAATATTTTATTACATATTAGTAACAAAACACTAATTACCGACAACATTCGACAATGATTAGCTAAAATACACATGTTTATAAAGCAATAACCTAGAACAAAGTCTTAATGGCCTAGAAACCAGATATTCGAAAAAGATTCACAACAGATGTTTACTCTCCTTACTTAAAAACATTTTAATTAAACGTATTATTACTCAATCGAGTTGCTGCACGTTTTAGCGAGGTTCTCGTAAAAGAAAAACCTATTTTCCGCCATTGCTGACGCACTGCACTTTTAACGACCAATCGTAAAACAAGTGAAAATAGAAAAGGATCAGCTAGGTTATTCGAAACGGGCATTAAAAATTTTCGATATTTTTAGAATATCGCTTATAGGTATGTAGAGGATCGAGAACACGCAAGTTAAAATCAATTTATTTTTTACGAGACTTTGCTTAATATGTCTGTATATCAATATTTTGTATTTTAGGTTATGAATGACGAAAAAAAGCAATGTCTAAAGAATACATATAACGCCCATTTTTTTGGATGTAACGAATGAGTCATCAGTTGGTCATTAGCGAAAATTTTTTTTTAAATTATGTCTTTATTTTCGAGAAAATTTAGTCCAAACATAAATAGACTTAAATTTAGTGTTTTTATTTTGCTCCAAACATAAGGAATATTTGGTTAATGTTTGACCATCAAAATCTTAAAAATAAAGAAGTTGTCTAAAAATGTGCTACAATACGGATATAGTATAATCCTTTATCTTTAATTTCCTTCTTTTTTATTTGTGTAAAAATACCTAGCCAGTTTTACCACAAATTACCTATAAAGGTGCGTATTCATTATCCGAACGAACGAATGAAAGTGCGGTATATTTAAGGTGCGTATTCATTATCCGAACGAATGAATGAAAGTGCGGTATATTTAGACGGGGACCGAACGCATGCGGCCGTTCGTTCGTTCGTTCGCTCGACCATCCGTTTCGAGTCGGTACATCAAAGGCGTTCGCCAACAAATGCCTCCGGTCTTCTCGTGCGGTTCTATCGTACGGTCCCCGTCCATACCACTAGCGAACATTCGTTCGTGCGGATAATGAATACGCACCTTTAACAGATGCGAAAGAACACCGAATTCCGCGTTCAGGTTTCTGTGACCTCCAGAAAGAGTTCATAGACAATCCGCATCAATGTATAGTTTGGGTTATTATTTGTTTGGGTGAAAATAATCTGCACCAATATGTTATCGAGGCATACAAAAAGGTCCACAGACTTCCAGACATACGAAAAATCAAGTCCATTTAGCGTGTGTCGCAATTTTCACACCTTAAAAAATTAGTTTTTTTTATAGCTATAGCAACTGCAGCGACTATGAAAAAAGCTGTGTGATTTTCATAGAAAATAAGGGTACCTGTAATTCATTTGAGAATGTTATAAATCGCTAAAAGAGGTTTCAAATCTCTTGGATTTCTATTAATATTAAATAAGTTTTATTAAAAATTGAACTAAAATTGTTAGTATCATTAAAAACAATTA